CATACATATACAATACATATACATACATACATACATACATACATACATACATACATACATACATACATACATACATACATACATACATACATACATACATACATACATACATACATTACATACATACATACATATTACATTACATACATACATACATTACATACATTACATACATTACATACATTACATACATTACATACATTACATACATTACATACATTACATACATTACATACATTACATACATTACATACATTACATACATTACATACATTACATACATTACATACATTACATACATTAAATACATTACATACATTACATACACACCATAGATACTGTACCTACCATACATTACATACATACCATGCATACCATACATACATACCTACCTACCTACATACATACATACATATATAGATACATACATACATACCTACCTACATACCTACCTACCTACCTACCTACGTACTTACATACCTACCTACCTACCTACATGCATGCATGCATGCGCGTGCACACACACACACATTCACACATACATACATACAGACAGACAGAAAGATATACATACATACATACATACATACATACATAGATACATAGATACATACATACAGGCATACATACATACATACATATATATATATACATACGTATACATATACATATACATACATATACATACATATACATACATATACATACATATACATACATATACATACATAAGCATAAATATGCATACATATACATACATATACATGCATAAACATACATATACACACATATACATACATATACATACCTATACGTACATATACATACTTATACATATATACATATATATACATACATATGCATACATATACATACATATACATACATATACATACATATACATACATATACATACATATGCATACATATACATACATATACATACATATACATACATATACATACATATACATACATACAAATACCTTCCTACCTACAGACATACATACCTACCTACCTAACATACATACATACATACATACATAGATACATAGATACATACATACATACATACATACATACATACATACTTATATAATTTTGATACATACATGTACATACACATACACTTACACATATACATACATACATACACACATACATACACATACATACCTACATACATACATACATACATACATACATACATACATACACACATCCATGCATGCATGCATGCATACATATATACTTATATAATGTATATAAATACACATATACATTTACATACACATACACATACACATACATATACATATACATATACATATACACATACATATACATATACATACATATAAATACATATACATATACATATACATATACATATACATACATATACATACATATACATACATATACAAATACATATACAAATACGTATACATATACATATACACACATACACACATACACACATAGACACATACACACATACACGCATACATGCATACACGCATACATACACGCATACATACATACATACATACATGAATGCATGCATGCATACATATATACTTATATATAATATATATACATTTACATATACATATACACAAACATACATATACATATACATATACACATACATATACATATACATACATATACATATACATATACATATACATATACATATACATATACATATACATATACATATACATATACATATACATATACATACATATACAAATACATATACAAATACGTATACATATACATATACACATACACACATACACACATACACGCATACACGCATACATACACTCATACATACACTCATACATACACGCATAGACACATACACACATACACACATACACACATACACACACACATACACACATACACACATACACACATACACACACACATACACACATACACACATACACACATTACATACCATACCATACCATACCATACCATACCATACCATACATACATACATATGTGGATGCGAATAGCATGTACAACATCCTGAAAGAGTTTCTCCCAAGGCGCAACGTGTGGAGTTCGTCCGCAGCGTTGGCGTCCGAGCCGCAACAGAAACGATGCGGGAGCAGTGGAAACGCGAATCCATGGCGCGGAAATGGAGGTGCTGGGTGCACTGGGTGAAGCACCGAAGCACCGTACTGAGTGGGATGAGTGATGGGTTGTACTGCCGTACCGCCTCATCCATCTATGTGGATGGGTTCATTTTACCACATTATTATCAATTTTATTACTATATATATAATTATGGGGAGAATGATGGATTTATCAAGCACTGACTATGGTGGGTTACTTGCAAAACAGTTTTCTGAATTTCTATGAAAATCAGAAAACCACGTATTCATCAACTGGGGCATTACCCTCTGGTAATTTAACATAGCTATTGAAAATCACCATTTTTAATGGGAAAATCCACTATTAATGGTCATTTTCAATAGCTACGTTAAATTACCAGAGGGTACCAGCAACCATAGGTATAGATAACCTTAAAAGGTGGAGTCTTAGGCAACAAGGGGGGATTCGCCATCCAAAAACCAACGTGCCGTAGCCATCGACCAACAGCCAGTGGAACTGGAACCGCGCCCGGAGCCCGGTGCCCCTGGTTCCGTGGTGCCTTGGTGGAGCGCGGGGCGACTTGATTTCTAGTCATGGGGGTAGCCCGCTGGATGGTTGATGGACAATCCCTTTTTTAAAATAGATGAATTGGGGGTAGCCCTATTCAAAAAAAAAAATCCAATTCTTTTTTGCAAGTTGCTGTCTTCAAGTATCTTTTGGTTTGGACAATTCACTATCTTATCTATCACTGATTCAACCACCAATCAGATTACAAGATGGTGGTTGTATTTTTTGTCATCACTACAAGGTGGGGGCCCTTAAACGATAGCCAAATTGTAATGAAAGTTTTTGTCCAACAACTCGGCTTTATAACTTTATGGTAATTACAGCTATTGTAGTTTACGTTAGTTTATGAGGTTTATAAACCAACATCAAACAGCATCAACCAACTGGGGGCCCCCAAACGTAGAGATGACGAAAATGGCCATTTTAGGATCCTAAACTGGAGATGCTGTAGCATATTCTTGGCCATATTTGGTGGGGGGATTCCCAAAAAATTAGGCCTAAACAATAGGCCAACAATATATGGCAGGTAGCTCCAATAAATCGATGGGTGAGGCTAGAAACACGATTCAGAGGATGTTAAATCAGGATTCAAGCCGTCCATTCGCGGGCGCTCCCCTGCTTCTCCCATACGGTGGATCTGAATTTAAGTCCTGTGGTTCTTAACCAGAATGTTTGACCGGGTAAAATTTCGATTCATTTCAAGCAGAATCAAATGGTCCCCGTGAGGGTCAAATCGTGTTTTGAAGGTCAATGCAAGGCAGCGCCTTCTCTGTCATCAGCGGGCACATCTACTTGCCTACCCGCCCTTCGGCGGTACAACATTATCTCTTTGAGATATGTAAACACTCGAGAAAGGAACGGCCATGACGAAAGAGCATCCCTTTCCTCACCTAAAATGCACACATATGTGGTATTCAATCCGGATTCAATCCCACAGAAAACAGCTCCCAGAAAGAATAAATTTGAATTCAAACCTTTAAAAACCATGCATTGCAGAGCTCACATCCAGATTCACGACCCACCAAATGTACACCAGAAAGACCAGGCTAACATCAAGATTTAAGAGCAACCAGAGCACAGGCATAGAGTGTGATACTTGAATCTTGATTCAAACTTGCCTATGTGGGCACCGCCCTGAGAAGCTTACATTTGGATTCAAACCTCCCCAAGAATAGTAGGGAACCATACAACCACAGAGGTTAAATCAGGATTCAAGCCATTGTGAAATCAGGTTTCCTTCCGTTCTCATAAAGGGATATGAAATTGTCATTGATGATATGAGTTGCTCAAATCCACCACTATATTGCCAAAATGGTGGTGAACAATTCCGAGAAATATCTCAACAAAAATAGCAAATCAACAAGTTGTATCCCTATATCCCTCTGGTAAACATAGAACAACTGGTTGGTGGTTTGGAACATTTTTTATTTTTCCATCGGGAATAGTAGCCCCAACTGACGAACTCCATCATTTTTCAGAGGGGTAGCTCAACCACTAACCAGCAATGGTTAAAATTCCCATAATGGTCAACCATAACCACCATAACCACCATTATTAACCATTATTAACCATTATTAATCCACCCATTTTCCTCTTGGTAAATCAGTAAATCAAAGGCCGCGAGCCTATGGAGGCCATTTTTCCGAAGGGCTGAAGGGGGTTGTTGTCGTCGCCGTTCTGAACACCGGGGGGTTTTGGTCATCAAAAACAGGGACTTTTTTTCACGGGAGAAGCCAATGAAATCAATGAAACATGGGAAATTAAAAAAGATGATTTTCATGATATGTCATCACTAACCCAATGAAGCCAATGTTTGTTGCTTTTTCAGACTTTTGAAGTACGGAACATCAAAGACCCAATGAAGAAGTGGAGATTTTTCCCCACCATTTAGCGCATCCAGGATTTGCCATCAATTGATATGTGGATTCAACGAGCCGAATAGGCTTGGGTTACGAAGCAATAGTTGATGGTATTTGTTGGTTTTACCCTCTGGTTATTTAACATAGCCATGGAAAATCACCATTTGTAATAGGTAAACCATCTATAAATGGGCCATTTTCCATGGCTATGTTAAATAACCAGAGGGTGTATATATATATATATATATCAAATTTATTATCAATTGGTATAGTTGATTCAACCAACGCCTTCATGTGCAATCAATCAAATAGTTGAGTGGTTGCTGCTTTTAGATCGTTGGTTATTTAAAGTAGCTCTGGAAAATGGACCATTTATAGATGATAAAAATGATGATTTACCTATTAAAAATGGTGATTTTCCATGGCTACGTTAGACAACCAGAGGGTAGATCTTTTTCATTTTCAAGCGTATTTGTGGGATGATTGCAGCACCAGTGAGTACTGCTGATGTGGGATGTAAACAAGAGAGTTCACTCGATTCTTGGGGGATAAATATACCCAACAAAGGTTTCTTGGCCGGCACCACATTTTGTGACCAATAGATTCAATAGATCATCTACTTGAATTTAATTGAACTAGTTCAGAAACTGGGCAGAGTGGTATGAACCTGCAATTTGGCTTGGTATCCCATTCCATCATTCCATCCACTGGTGAACCATCTCTTTCCCCAAAAGCTGGAAACCCAATTCGCAGTATGCGACTATTGGACAAACTTATATATTTTACCATGGTTTCCTGTACATGCTCCACAAAAAAGTGTGTACATTCCTGTTTTTGCTTTAAATCATTAGCATTTAGACTACCAAAACCCGGTTATTTCTCCAAACATCCGAAGCCCTCGTCAGGGCGCCTGTGGCCGTCTCTTGAATCAGAAAGAGGCAATCGCTGTGGATGAGGATCGCTTAAACTCACTTGGGATGTTGAGATGCTGATTCCAAGATGACCATGGTCCAATGGTGTCTGGCTAGTGGGAAATCACCTGGAAACAATTGGGAAAGAATTAGGTCCTAGGCATGATAGTCATGGGTATAACTCATGATCCAGCTATAAATGGGATATCTCAAGGTTGGGGGACTTGCTAACCAGGCTTACTAACTTCTTGCTTACTGCTATCCAAGCAGGATGCTAGGGTAAAATGCTGGGTAGACAGCATATAGCTAGCTAGTATGGCATGTGCAAAAATGACTGCGCATCTACTTAGTGGTGAAGGACACAGTTTTGTTGGTCTGCCCAGCAACTTGAGCATTGGTAGATTTGTAGCTACATTCCGCTATGTTTCATATCATTGTGGTAGGTAGGTGGCTGCTTCTATTCCATCGGTGATGGCTTTGTCCCCGGTTGGTGCGTGTCTCCTGCGTAAAATCACTTTTCGCACACTTACCATGGACTAAAACCCCATGATCCATCATTTCTTCGCTTGTATCAGCTTACATGGAGGTTTCCTGAAATGGGGGGTACCCCAAATGACCATTTATAGATGGAATTTTCAGCAAACAAACCATCCATTTCTGGGTATTAGGAAACCCCCATATTATACGATGTTTTTTTTGTAAAGTTTGCAAATTAAAACCTCCATTCAACTCACCATTCGAATGTCATTAAATGGCTCAGATTCCCATTGAAAAACAGCCTCCATTTCTGTACTGACTGGAAATCCTCGTTGCCACTAACGCAGCATTTTAGATTCATTGGTTGTTTTTTATCTGTTTTGTTTTGCTCAGTAAACTTCGTCAACACCTCCGGTAGCTGCTATGTAGCTTGGACATTCTCAAAGCTCTATGTTTCTAGGTGAAATCTTAGAAACCACGGTGATTTTCTTGCAATGTTCAACAATGTGAGGCCCCCAAGATAGCTAAGTTGGTTTATAACTCCAATGTCACTATGGTTTATGGTACTTATAACGAGCTAGTTACTGGGGCCTTTGTTAACAAACTAACATCACTGGGGGGCCTCCCAGCTCCGTCGGGTCGACAAATTCTCAGGAGTTGATGGCCTCACCGGGCTTCAGTGTGGATCAACTCATGGAGCTTGCAGGCGATGCTTTTTTTAGCGCGCCCAATTTATGGCTGGTATTTAAGCACCAAATCAAAAAGGGAGGGTTGAATAGGGTTGATCAGATTGTTTTAAGCACATGATTATTTTTGTGAACTTTTCGGAATTCTATTTTGCTTTTTGGAGGACATAAACCCATTTAACAGTTGAACTAATCACATATCCCATCATTTCAATTCATTTCAACTGGTTTCACACAGGTTTGCAAGGGACAGCAGGTGGCAATCTGGCCGGAACTGTGGGACGATAGCAAGCGTTTTCCACTGGTTGTTTTACGATGATCTCACATGTTTTGGTTTATTCATATTTCGTCTTTCAATTTTTTCAATATCTTTATATAGTTGCCAAGAATTTGGTATCTTTATATGCCAAGAATGGGGGAATATCGTACCCTAAACAAAGGCATCCAAGATTGGCCAGCAGAGCACAGGACTTTCAGTGGCCTGCGCAGTTGCGACCGCCTTTCCACGGGAGCAGTGCGGGTTCCTGGAGCTGTAGCGTTTTGGAGGCCTCAGCAGAACTGATAGTTCGATGTGAGGCGAAACCATCGACCTTAAAGATATAGGATTTCTATGGATTTCTTCTCAAATATCTAGATTCATCCAGTTTTTGTTGACGGTAAGGCACTCTCCTGGTTGCTGATACCAATCCGAATGAGATCAAGTCGTACGACAACGTCAACTACCATGGATTTAGTGCATAGCTGGACCGGGAGGTACAGCACCAATCCTGCCGTGCTGCTGGTGTGTGGGCCCGGCAATAATGGAGGAGATACTCGGAAGAGATGATGGCACCCTTTTTGTTTTTTCGGAGATCATTGGAGGAAAAGGCAACATCACATTCGTAAAATGACATAGATGTTTGCACTTTTTTTTGATGTGACAGATTTTGGGCAAATATGTCATGATGTTTTGCATGAACGTTGTCATTTGGTGTTTTGCACGCAGTTTCAGAGCACCGTATAGGTCCATGACACAACCTGAGGATGGCTTGGTTGCTGCCAGACATCTCCATCATTTTGGCCCGGGCGCCATGTCATGGTGGATGTCAAGCGGTCAGCCGATGGGAATGGCAGAAGCTGAAACCGGGCATAGCCCAACCGTGCCGATGGATTTCTTCAGGGTACCAACTTCTCAGATGATTGACCATGCCGTGTTTTGGTTCGTTGTGAACATGCATTCATGTTGCAGATCAGACAGAGAACCTTTTCCACACCGCTTCCAAATTGAACTTTGACAAATTCACTTTTCTACATTGACAGGATCCCAATAGCGTTTAAGAATGGTTAAGATATGGCCAATACGTCCCGCAACATATCAGCAACCAATTTTTTCAGTGGTTTGGTGGTTTGGATTAGGGATACCCGGTGTTTTTGTCACGGATTTTTCGCTGAGGTTATGCTCCACATGTCATCTATCCCAAGGCGAATCAGAAAAGTCAACTCTTCGTGACTTGGCGAGGTTCAACTTAGTAACTTAGCGCGGCTGGAAGGCGAACACTTGGTGAATGCTAGTGGAAAATTAGATCATGTCATGTCTACCCTCTGGTTATTTTCCTAACAGTTAGCCATGGTATATATAGATGGCCCTTTTTTCGAAATAGATGGTGACTACCGTTTTTAATAGCATGGGTGGATTTTCCATGGCGAATGGGCGTTATGTCATAACCAGATGGTAGATCTTGCGGTCTCCCATGAGGCGAGTCCGAGGTGTTGATGATTTTCCATGACTTGCGAAGTGAAATTGAGAAGTTACAGCTTATCCATTGATGACACATATGTTAAAACAGGCACCCCATGAGAACTGCTTGTTATATCATGTTATATCATGTTATATCATGTTATATCCACAAGAACTCCACGGTGATGAAGCCCCTTTTTCACCCGTTTTAAAAGATTCCGCCCAGTAAGGAGACCCAGGATGGGGTTTGATATCCCGATGTATCAACCATGGATACCTCTGGATGATATCAGATAGATTCTAAATAGATATCCTTTTCCCATTGGTCATCAGTGGTCGCTTCACTCATAGAGAAGTATCCTCCTTTTCCGCTTATTGAACGTAGCTATGGAAAATCCCATAGCTACAAGGTGGTGCCCCAGTTCGTTAGCTAAGTTGGTGAACATAAGTCCAATTTCACTATGGTTTTTGTTGGTGATATATCTATAGTTAATGGGATTATAACCCATTTATAACTTGGGGGGGCATCACCTTGTATGTTAGTCATATCCAGAGGGACAAATTGCCGATGGTTGAAACGACGGTCTAACGACCGATGATCCTCTACCAGAACGCCGTGACTGACTTGGATGATTGGGTCACCCTAGCGTTTGATCCAAGATGGCTAGCTGGAAAATCCTCTATCAATGGCGGTTGAAACGCCTTGTTGATAAGCGGATTTTCGCCAAATTTGATTAGCAGAGGGTATTCTCACATTGTTCCATGCACGGGTTGATCGCGTCAGGTCAACTTGACTACGCAGCTGGCGCAACTTTCAGTGCGCCAAGCCGCCTTTCGGCCGCCTTTTGGATTCTCCGTGGCGAAGAGTAGACAGTAGAAGCTCACGGATTCTTTTAAAGGTGACAATGTTGAGTGCATTTATTTGGGGTTGTGGAAGGCCAAATTTGCTTCCAGGATGCAAAAAACTACTTGCCCAAGGGTTCGAATGCATTCTCTCAAATAATCAACAGCTTTGTTGTTCTTTCCAAGATTTGGGTTGGTCTGAAAGTCGGGGACACGGGATCCGCCCCCAAAATACAGAATAATAGTGAACATGACGGGAAAGTAATGGCTTTAGGGGAGCAATATTTCAGACAAGCCGTCCATATCCGTCCATATTTTCTTTCGGATTCTAATCATTCTAATCTCACTGATGATTCACCCGAAAAGGGAACATCAATGACAAACATCTACTGTAGTGATTTCTTTGGGAAGACTCCAAGGTGGGGTACAAAAAACATCACTGCGGTGGGAGATTTGGGTGCCAGGTACCGGTAGAAGCAGCGCTCCCGGAGAACTTAGAGAGATACTGCGTGGTCGTGGATGCCATTGCCGCTTGCCTGCCTGTGAACAGAAGTTAATCCAAATTTTTTGTGGATCCAGTTCTAAACCAAGGCTAAAATAAAGGGCTGTTTGAAATAAGGGCTGTTTGGGATGATTTGGTATCCGAAGGCCCAGATGATTGTCATTCAGATTGGCATACCGGCCGCGAGTTAATGGTCGAAACAATTCGAAACAATTTGACACATCCGTCAGTTCACGTTTCACAAGATGTTTTCCCAGGAAAATCTCATGATTCTCCGGCAGAAATGCCCTCCTTGCAACGCATCTATTCGGGGAAATTTGTCAAACGCGACCTCCCAACGACCTCAGCAAATTAATGATGGTCAGTACCAAGAATCCAAAATCGCTCAAGAAATCAGCTTTGACTTTGTGAAGCATAAATCATCATTTTTATCCATCTAAATGTTTCAACATCCAGATAAATCCCTATACATCCAGATAAATCCATATACCCTCTGGTAAACTAACATAACTATGGAAAATCGCCTTTTTTTAATGGGAAAACTCACTATAAATGGCCATTTTCCATAGCCATGTTAGTTTACCAGAGGGTAATTCCCCATTTTTCATGGTGATGCCTCGATTGTCTTCAGTGGACCAACCTGGCTTAGAATCCGGCGCCAGTTTGGATTCTCCTTCAGCGGTGCGGTGCGTGCACCCTTTGATGAGATCATCAGGAGCCTGGGGATCTGACTCAAGATAGGAAGCTATAGGTTTCGAAGATTTTATAACAGTTTCATGGGATTATAGATGTTTATATGTTAGAAGACAGTTTATAGATACCTATAGCCTATAGGTTTCATGGGATAAACAAATACTGTATAGTTTATAGATGTTAATAGTTGATCAACATGGGGAAACCCAATTTGGTGTATGATTCTTGGGTTCACCATTGGTTTAATGTGGGCACCCCTCATTTTCGTGAACCAATAAACCTACTGACCATGACTGGGGATGGTTTATACCACCCATAAACATGGTGATTTTTGGGATGGTTTATTATGTGCTTTATCACATTAGGTTTCTCCATGGGTTTCATGGTGATTTTTCACCAATAGGTCTGGGATTAATGTAGCCAAGAGAAAAATATGGGACCGTGGGACCTCATGGGAATTTCGCCCCAATATATATGTATTAGTATAATTATCTATTTATTTAATTAAATTAATTTATTTATTTATTTATTCACTTATTTATTTATTTAATTATCTATTTATTTAATTATCTATTTATTTAATTATCTATTTATTTAATTATCTATTTATTTATTTATTTGTTTATTTATTTATTTATTCATTCATTCACTTATTCATTTTTATCGGATTTTGACAGGGAAACTTATGATGAACCAGCGGCTGGAATGGCATACCATATATTCAGACAAAGCCATATATTATGATTTATCTTCCTAATGTGGTTGTTTTCCAAGTATTGTGATGCCAAACTGGAAACAACCCAAACGATTGGATGAGGATCATCTCCACTTCCTACGGGATAGGTTCTGGATGGTTCTTCTTGGTTCACCAGGCTGGAATCTTCCCAGAGCCTCATGCCATGACTTCCCTCTCGTGTGCGACCCTGCCGCGACCATCAATGTCATGCATCAAAAGGTTTCGCGATTGATTTCTGGGCAGCCATTGTCAAGGAGAAGCCACCATTTATTGGTTCTATGCACAGTATCTACCCACACTGATTGATTGAATCCAAACCACCACCACCGTGCTTCTAACTTATTATGACTCGAAACCTGCTGGACCACTTTGGGATTGTCTCAAACTTTGGAGCTCCCTTCCATGGTTTAACAGCAGCTTCCCCAGTTTTATACCCCCATATATGGAGGTTTCCTAAATGGGGGATCCCCAAAACCTTGGGTTTCAATACTAAAAGGATCTAGTCTCGGATGATTTGGGGGTACAGCGGAACCGTTAGATAAGAACCGATTAAGCATTTTCCAGCCTACCCTGGGGTTCTTAAGTGCTATAGGTGGAAAATATGGGAATTATGAACGAGGGTACCCTCAAGTTCTTAACGGGTTAGTTCTTAAAGGGTTCATATGGTGGCAGCCGTAGAAAAAATAGGTCAAAACGTTAGATAAAAGGTTGGCAGACCCTAAGGCCAGAGAGACAATAGCTCAGTTGGTAGAGCGTCAGCCTAGCAAGTGGGAGGTCGAACCCCTACAGGGCATCTTGCACTTTGTGGAACATACATGGTTTCAGCTTTAGCTTTCCTTGAGTTGTCTTTATCTGCAGCACATGAGTTGGATGTTCCCGCTCATGTTAAGGGGAAGAAGAAAGGAATCCGTCCAACCAGGTTTAAGAAAAATATGCAATCTTTGATCATATTTGGTATATTTATACCCGTTAAAGGGGAATAAGAACCAGTGCCTAGAATTCCAGGGTACCCTAGGGTTCTTATTTCAATTAGCTGACAGAAAGGGTTGACTCCAGCAATCCAGCCCCTGGTTTCACTGTGCCCTCCAATGACTTGGATGATGACTGGGGGTACCACCATGATTTCGGAAACCTCCATATGGGTTTGCCCCCAAGGTTCGTTGAACTTGAGCCACAGTCCCCCTGCTTTTTGTTCACAGCGCCCTCCAGGAGATTGTCTAGTGGTCCCCCAGTATGGCATCCCAACTGGCAACAACTCGGGTATCAGATCGTGTATCAGATCGGGCATCAGTTACTACACATCATCACAGCAATCTGGGATTGTCCGACATTTTTGTGAGAAACCTTCAAATCCCCGGCTGTACAGGTAGCACCATTTTTGGACAAACTCTACTACTGCTTTGTGGGTTTGCCTAAAAAGGAAATATCTGCGTCTGTCGACCGCCAGACGAACCACCATCCAAAAATCATAGCCGTCATAGCCGTCTAGCTTCTCGGGCCGGGGAAGTGTTGACATTTTAAATCTTCAATTTCCGTTCTTCACATATTTTCAAAGGTTTTTGTCAAGTGAAGAGCTCATGCAGGTGGTAAGTTTTTCAATCATGAGTTGTTTTCAAAGATTTCAGACGGTTTCCGGCAACTCACTTTGCCAGGTCCCTTTTTGTCTTCAAACGTTCGTGGTGTTTCCAACACTGATGGGGCCACAAAATCGATCGATGATTTTTGCCAGGTTTACCATCCTGATTACTCAAACGTGGCTAGCGGGCGGCTAGCTGGCAAATCCCCAAACTCACTGGAGGTTTTAGTGGGAGAATACTGTAATCAGTAATCTATAAATGTTTGATTGCCGCAGGGTAAGCAAGTTGAATAAGTTGAATCATCCGTCGAGCTAGCCAGTGAAAACCAAACAATAAGAAATGTGGGGATTATGATCCTGATGCTGCTAACCAACCAGAGAAAGTTGTCTGCCAGCTTGGCGTTGTTAAGAATCACCCAACAATCCCAGCCCCCGTTCATTGAAATTCCTGCGCAAGGAAACCCGTGCTTAGTACGAATTATATAAATGTATTCAGAGCTTGGATTTGTGAGTCTTGAATCTTGGTTTGTTTGAACATGGGATGCCTCCAATTGAACATCAATGATAATCCTTCTTCTCAATTTGTGTGTCTTTTCCTGGATGTTCCTGATGTTTGTGCAGATTCAATATCATGTCATTGCTTAGGCTGTACTGTATCCTTCCATGATATCCTCTTACTCTTTACCAACCAACAATATGTTAATTTCGTAAAGAAATCGTATATCCGACTTTCTTTTTCCCTATATTGTAATCATTAATTGCATGCTATTATATTCCATCACCATAATATTAAACACCCCCATTCTATGACCCAAATATGTGATTTCATGCCCTACTAAACCATACTAAACCACGGCTTCTAGGTGTTTTATATTAGGGGGCAGCGATTATATTGTAGTTTTACCGAGAAATCATATATCCATTGTATCCTATTTTTATTTGTTTTCCTATTACCAGTATTACTTATACAATCACATTCCATAATATATTTTAACATATATATATATATACCTATATATATATATACCTATATATATATATTCCATTCTCATTCTTCACATAGATTACATATAAAATACATTCCTATCCTAGTATATTGCATGATATCCTTGACAAACTTCATAGGATCGCTCTCCAAGTTGAGGTCCTTTCCGTGGACATCCCTTCTGGATGGGATGTGGAGCAAGGTCCTCCTGCAGAGGGTGTGACCTTGCAACCAGGTGGCCCGAGCCGTGGTGTGCCACGGTTTTTGGATGCATTTCTCCTCGGGGTGTATGGATAAAATGGTGATTGGATTATCCGGGATAATCCATGTTTAATTTGATGATGAATAAAGATCATTTTAAGAATGGATAGTGACCCCAAAACGAAAAAAATGAATAACTAAATATATGAATGGCGATTGAATGGTGATTTAATCTTCATTATCATCTGGGTGAGCCTAGAGTGGTCACTATTGTGGTTAATCATTTTAAATGGTGCAAATGATGATTAATTATCATGTTTTGGGGTAGCCCAGATAACACAAGATGAAACCATCTTAAGTCCCTGGACATTTTGAGTGAAGGGCCTGAAGGGCTAGGAAAAAACAGAGAAATTCATGGCTGGGATGTAGGCGGCTGGAAGGTTGTTGATGGCTCACCAAGCCCCCTTTATCAAGGTTGATAAAGGTTGATGCTGCTTGAAATCTAGAATCTAGAACATATCGGAAGAAATTATCGGAAGAAATATCGGTCCTATCAAGTCCTATCGTAACACTCGAAGCAGTGCGGAATTTCACCGCGCCCCGCAGCTTTGAGCCCTCCAGAGCGGTGGCTTGTTGGTAAGAAGAGACCTTGAACTCAGTCGCAGCCAGGCCAACCACTGGTCAACCACAAGAAACTTTGAACTTGTTTCCAGCAACAACCTGGCCCAGACGCTGAATGGTAGAGAGGACTACCCTCTGGTAAACTAACAAAAAACTATGGAAAAATCACCATTTTCAATGGGTAAATCCATTATAAATGGCCATTTTCAATAGCTATGTTAAATTACCAGAGGTCTTTTTGGTGTGGTGACCTGGTGACCCCAATTGGGGGTCCAGCCGACTCCAGCCTCACCGCAGTAAGGGGACAATCCCGCCTGCTTCCCACTTCCCCCGTTCCAAGCCACCTTCAATCCCAAGCTGTTCCGTTTTTGACCAAAAACCCTCATCACAACCGAATCTCAAACATCCTCTGAATCTGACGTGCCAATCAAGTCCCCATTTAAATCATTTAAATTTATATAAACATACTTCTTCACCAACCACAAATCATTCACCAACCATTCACCAAATCTCCAAGACTGGCCATGACTGAGCCGCTGGAACGCAGTGACCGACGGCTCTTCTTCGCGGTGCTCTTTGCCCACGGCTACGCCCGGGTCTTGTCGAAGTTGGCCTCGGCACCGCTGGAGAGAGTCAAGGCACCATCCTATTGACCAGGATTTCTTGGGCCATGGACCAGCAATTATGAATCGTCTCAAATAGGTATGTACTCAATCATAAACCAAATTTTGGGGTGTTTTTTTTTTTTTTTAAATTGGATTTTCCAGGTTATAGTAGATACTGTAAGTGGCTTCATGAACATATTATGATAGTTATAGTATTGTAATATCCTCAGTAGAATCCAACAGCAATAGGGCCACCTAACTGATTTAATCACCGAAATATCATCATCATCATCATCGTCGTCGTCTCCTCGGTCGTCGTCGTCGTCATCATTGTCATAATTGTCATAATAAATAATGATAGTAATACTGTATAGGAATGCATCATACTACTAATTTAATCATGCTAATCATAATGCTTATAACAATAATACTGATACTAATATGGTCAATAATAACAATCATCATCATCATCATCATCATCATCATCATCCTCATCCTCATCATCATCATGATCACCATCAGAATAATGATCATCATAACTTTTGCTATTTTTTTTTGTCTATTGATGCGATCTTGGTTGATTCTCACCAATCCAATTGTAGATATATCCACGATAAAGCCCAGTTAGCCTCGATGTTTGTTGGCGAGCTTTTGGGTGAAATTTTCATCCCGTTTCTGTGATTTACTAGGGATACCCTCTGGTAAACTAACATAGCTATGGAAAATGGCCATTTATAGTGAGTTTTCCCATAAAAAATGGTGATTTTCCATAGCTATGTTAAATTACCAGGGGGCAGTCTTGGATAGGGAATTCTTAGATTGGGGCTATCTGAGTTATACCTGACTTTACAAACAGGGTTACATCGCGATTACGAAGAACTTCGTGGATCCAAATATGATCTACCCTGGGCCATCGCCGGGGCATCAAACAACAGAGGGGGGGACCTACCGGAGAACAACCCATATGAGGAATCTATCAGAGTGTCATGTAAACACACTGGGTACCCTCTGGTAATTTAACATAGCTATGGAAAATCACCATTTTTAATGGGAAAATCCACTATTTCAATGGCCATTTTCAATAGCTATGTTAGTTTACCAGAGGGTAATTAGTCTTCCAGCATTTTTTGAACGTTTGATGAAACTCAAGTGGGGTTCATGAGGCTTATAAACAAATTGCCGGCATATGGGAGTGAGTCCAAAGACTATTTTTTACATCTGCACAAACGCATACACAGAAAAGTGGCCGTTTTGACTACTAGGGGCTGGGGAATCAGGGCGGCTTCACTTTCTGCAATTGGGGTGGGAAGCGCGGCTCGGCTGGCTGAAGCCAGCTCATAGAATGGTTCTGTATTGGCTTATCCACATCAACCAGTACTTAGATTATAGTTGTATACAATCTAATCCAATTCTAACACATCCCAAGCAAGCAAACCCCCAACCCCATGATAAACCCCTGACTTGGTTGCTATGAATTAAGTTTTGATGGTAAAACATCAAATTAAGATTATTTCAGATGGTTAACCCCCCCAGTGTTCACAACAAGACTCTGAATGTAGACTTGAGTTCACATGCTTGAACCTCCATTCTTGATGCTCAACTCCAAATTTTATCGATGAAAACCACGGTTTGTTTTTTCCACGTTTTTCGATCTTTTTTTCCAACGGAAGCTTCAGCGCCAGGTGTGTTTACAGGTAGGACTTCCAGCAGGTCAACCGGGACTCATGGCCACCCTCCAAAGCCTGATTCGAAACCAAGGACGATGCGTCAGTGGTGCGAACATTGGGGTGGTTTAACAAACATAAGGAACCAATAAACATCAACAAACATCAACAAACATCAACAAACATCAACAAACATCAACAAACATCAACAAATAACATCAACAAATAACATCAACAAATAACATCAACAAATAACATCAACAAACATCAACAAGCACCTGATTTTGTTGGGGTATTCAAAAATCCTGATGTCATCCACGAAATGTGAACGACTGTTAGTTGGTGTAAACCCCATTATTTTGGGCAGACACTGACAGGGATTCTACAGATATTTCCCTAACGATTTCATGTGTCGTTTTCGATCGTTCAAAGTTCACTGGCAGGAATCTTGGGAAGATTCCCGAATTTGTGTTGCTTCAACACAAAGATATTTCATGAAATTTCATTAATTTTCATTATATCCCAGTTATAATGTCGACCCTGGATTAATAACCCCCTGGGCTGTTTAATTGGGAGGGTACCATTTAAGTACTAGATGAAATGACTATTGGAGGAGTACCCCCCTTTTTTTTATAAACCATGGTTTATGAATCCGGGGTTGACATTATCCCCATCGGGTCATTATTATTAACCATAGATTAACCATAGATTAACCATAGATATTCCCAGTCATGGCTGGTTATGACATCCCCATGGAGTATCCTCATTCGATTCGTGGACGACTCGGCCATAAATCCTCCATCCCCCTGCGCAGTCTCAGCGCCGCAGGATACCGCGGGCTCTGGAGGGGTTCGGCCACCCACGCGGCAGCGTCGATCTTCGGAGGCTTCGCGCGCTTGAGTGCACTGAGGAGAGGGGAAATACCCTCTGGTTATGTCAAAATAGCTATTGAAAATGGCCATTAATAGTGGATTTTCCCATTAAAAATGGTGATTTTCCATAGCTATGTTAGTTTACCAGAGGGTAGGAGATGGAATATGCTACATATATCAACTGATGGGTATTTAATCCCACAAAGTCTCCATTAATCTCCATTAATCCTCATTAATCCAGATGATATGATGGAATATATAGCTATATCAACAAGATATTTGGGGGGATGAACATCCATTCACCAGCTATTTTGATGAAGTCAGAGAAGGGTATCAGAAATACTGCCCAGCTACTATTCCTAAGGAGGATCAGCAAAACTGGGGTGTTTTTCCTAACTATCCTAACTATTCCATACTATTCCTAACTGATATAAAATGGCCGCCCATTGGTACAGGATGCCAATTTTCTCATCGTTCGTTCGACAAAAACCACCCGATGTTTATCGGACGAGGATTCCCATCGACTACCCTCTGGTTATGACTAACAGTTCGCCATGGAAAATGGCCCATAGAAATAGATGCTTTTCCCATTAAAACCTCCATTTATAAGGGAAAATCACAATTTTTAACAGGTAAACCATCTATTTCTATGGGCCATCTATACCATGGCAAACTGTTAAATAACCAGAGGGCAATACTTTACAGATGGCTCCTCGAAGCACCAAGCAGAAGACTTCGGACCACCAAGCGATGACAAGAGAGATACAACGGAGAGGTTTTTTGTGGAGAACTTTATCAGAATCAGGTGCCGGATACATCTTGAACAATCTACATTGAGAATATGACATAATATGACCAATAAACATGGACATATCCAATATCAAAATTTTGTTAAATGGTGTTAGTTGACAACATATCAACTATTTCATGATCCTATCAACTATTTATTGATCAAACATGAGTCAAAGAATGAGATTGCTGCCTGAAATGTTGACTGGAACCTTGCTAAAAGCGCCGAGGATTCAACCTGTTTTCCCCTGCGTCCCCTGGGTGTGTCCTGGGTCCCCTGGGTCCCCTGTTATTTGTTCAAGGCCGCAGCGACAGGACAACTCAGATGTGGATGATGCCGGGTGGCAATCGGCATTACCAGGGCTTGGAGGGCTATGTGCGTCGCTGCTCCTTCCTCTACATGTCAGGTGTGAACGAACAACGGGAACCGGGGTGAGCATCCACCAAAGGCCGTTGATTTGACACAAACACACACAGTGAATA